TAAGTTCGACCCATCACTTCAACAATCAACCAGAATGCTCTGGTTGTGTGAGCACAACAACAATCAACCAGAATGCTCCAGTTGTGTGAGTATTGACTTCAGCGGATGATCAGTTATTACTTGGATCAGATGCATGTGGAAATACAGTCGGAGTCTTCGAGCAGAAATAATCAATGTAAATATTAATTTTTCCATAATTGGAAACATGTTTTTGGCGCCTCTGAGTATCCGATTGTTATAATAAACACGTATTTGTTTTTCCACCTCTTCTCTAACTAGTACTGAACTGACAACCTCTTGTTGTTCTCCGAGGTATAATGATAGTTATCCCACAGGCTTTGAACTTGGAAGTAATGAGGGTGATGCCAAAGAATTTTTCACTCTTAAAGGCTTTTTCGCATTCATTTGTCTATTCAAAACGTTGATTTTTCCTTAGCATTGAAAAACAACGCACATCTATCTCCCGACTTTGAGATAAATAGGCTGAGCTCTGTGATTTGACCGGTTAACTTTGGGACTTTTTTTGGTGTTTCAAGGAGATGTCATATCTAGGATTGTCTGTACTTTTTCTAGGTTTGCTTTTATTCCCTCCGCACTTAATAAAATGCCTAAGAATTTACCAGTCAACGCTCCAAATATACATTTAGAAGGATTGAATCGGTCGACACTCCAAATATACATTTCGAAGGATTTAGTTTCATATTAAATTTTTTTAGTGTTTCTAAGGTTGCTTTAAAATCTTTAATGTGTTGTTCGACTGATTTTTAAATAAAAGATCATTCACATACACTTCAATATTTCTTTCTTTTTGTTTGGCAAAAAATACATCCACGAGGCGCTAATAGGTCGCCTCAACATTTTTTAGCCCAAAGGGCATTACATCAAAATAGAAAATACCTTGTGCACTAATAAAAGAAGTCTTGTCTGAGTTGGCCAGATGCATTTTGATCTGGTGGTAGCTGAAGAAAGCGTCGAGAAAACTCATCACGAAGTACCCGACCGCCGCATCCACCGGTGCGTCAATTTTTGGCAATGGATGAGTGTCTTTCAGGCAAACATTGAGGTTTGTGAAATCGACGTGCATCCTCCACTTGCCATCAGGCTTTCGAACCATCACCACGTTCAAGAGCCAAGTTGGGTACTAGACCTCTCGAATGTAACCAGCTTTCTTCAGCTTACCTCCGTCGTTATTAGCTCGACCAAGGTTTGGTGGTTGACCTGATCTGCTGCTACACAAGTCAAACGATTGAGCTAATATTCAATCGATGAGAAGTGACATTGATCGAAACTCCAAGCATCTCGGCTGTTGTCCAAACGAAGACGTCTCGATGCTCGTGAGGGTATGGATCAGTAAATTTTTATACCCTGCATCAAAACTTTCATTTATTAGAAAAAAATTACTGAGCTCCTTACCGTCGGCCGCAGGCTCTTTAAGGATGTCTCATTGGTCTCGAGACCCTCTTTTCTTTAGATCTGAATGTCAAGCGGTTTGTGATCTACTCTGGTGACCGGTCCAAGGTGGCAGTTCCTTGAGTGTTGTATGTTTTCTCGAACAGTGTTGATCTCCCCCTCTTCCAGAAAATTCACAGCTACATGGTAAGTCGACGTTATCTCCCAACGACTGCTTAGTAATGATAGACTGAATATGGCGTTGTACGTTGAAGGTGACTCGACCACCAACAAGTCCTCTGTGTTGGTGTACTGCTTCTCTTGCTCACCCCACAAAACGCAAAAGGCAATGAAGCTTCTTTTCTCTCGCTAGAGAAGCCAAACAGTGGACCGACCGGTGCTGTCCATCAGTCGATTTTCAATCCAATATTGTCGAACACCGTTTTGTTTAGTGAAATTCTGCTGTCCTCCAAGATACTACCCACTCGATAGTTGTTGATCAAAGTCGTAGCAACGATCCGGTCGTTTTAGGGATTTCCTCTAGGCGGGAGGTCTACATCTATAAAAATAATGGGAGGATGGTTACGCTTAAAACAGTGACCAAACATACCTCTCCCAACCGATGCCTTTTCTGGCTGGGTCGACGAGATGATTCTCCACCTCTCAAAGATAGTCGGGATGATTCTGGCAGTTTAGACTTCATTCGCCCTAATTAGTTGTCAAAAAACTCCTCAGTGGCGCTTTTCCTTGTCGCTTGGTTTGTCCCCCTGACAACGATGAACTTCTTGAGCTTTCCGACCTTTGATTAGCTCCTCCATCAAGCTCTAGAGATGTTGACACTCCTCGGTGTCGTGCCCTTGTTCTCAGCGGTAGTCGCAGTATTTGTTTGGGTTTCAGAGTGGAGGTTCGGCTTTCATCGGCGGGTATGAGGGACATTAGTCTCCTCGACATTGATGTGATCGTTGGCCATCTCAAACAGTTTGGAGAAAGATGTTGGTTTGAGCAAATTCAAGTCATACTTGAATCGTTCTTCTCTTACCCCTTTTGTCAGAGCGGTTTGAGCAATTAAAGGCTGTAGATTCTTTATCTCCAACATCTCCATTTGGAACCAATTGATGTAAAAACATAGACTCTCGTTCTCACCCTGCTTTCTCTAAAACAGAGCATGAGATCTCTTCCTCAACTTTTGCAAATTTACGAAGTGTGCTAAAAGAGTTTTTGAACTCTACGAAGGTTCGTACGATACCAACTGGTAGATTGTGGAACCAGTGAAGAGCCGATTCCTTAAGCGTGGTAAAAAAAGACAACACTTCATCGCATTACTAATCTAAAGTATTCTGACAATGATTCGAAGGAAGCCAAGTGGTCGGTTGGGTCGCTTTTTCCCTTGTCGGGGTCCAAATGAGGAACCCTTAGCTTCACTAGCGGTATAGCCTTCAAAATTCACGGGTGAAAGCACTCTCAGGGGTAGGCTGAGCAGGTGCTTCAACACTCCCCACCTGATGCCTAATCATCGACATAGATCCAGTGCTAGCCAATTGTTGGGAATTTCCTTCCTTTTCAGTCATTCGATTACTGGCACGCCCGTTGGGCACCTGTGGTCGCTCCAAGGGAAACTCCTGAGGGTAAGTTCACGAAGACCCAACTTCTAGAAGCGATGGTTGATCATTCATTCACATGATTGCTTCCCGAAGGGCTTTAAATTGACCACCCATTATCTACTCTATTAATTCTTGGTTCACTGACTCTCTATTGAACTCCATCTGCACTATGTCTCTCTGATGCGATTCCCATCGTAATTTGCTCCGCTTCGTCTGTGGCATGTCCATTCTCGCCCCATCACCTTTTAGAATTTTGAATCCTAAATTATCTTCTTGGAAACACACCTCGAGAGTTAGAGCTTGTGAGAATAAAAGGGAGGGAGAGAGAGAGGACTCTTAAGTATGAGAGAATCCTAAAGTGAAAGAGTTCCAAAACTCTCTTTATTGATGTTATGGCCTCCTATTTATAGAGGTCTTAAAATAAAGTTACATAAAAGGAATGAACAATTACTATAACTATCCAAACGATTGAATTTACATGTCTGTCGAGCAAAAAAATTATATTACAATGTGAATGAAAATTTGATGTCAGTCGACCGCCTGATGTTCGATTTGGTAGACCCCATCGCTGCCCGATGTTCGGGTCGACCGATTTTATCAGCCGGTAATTTGAAGACGTGCAAAATTTGAAAACAGTGCACGTCTACTTGATTGTGTTTGCTCGTTTGGTGAATCTGTCGGCTGTAAGTTTCCGTCAGTCGGGATCCTGTCTTGACCCATCGTGATACTTTGTCTCCATTCTTGACTGCTCGGTTCTTTGAGATTCATGCCAATATTTTTGCAGTGTGCACCTGATGGAAGTCTTGCTTAAACACACCAACATGATTAAATTCCACTATCTCTTATTAAGGGCCCGTTTGGAGCAGCTTATAAGTGCGGGGTCATTTTTGAAAACATTGCTATAACGTTTGGTTCGCATGTTTTGCTGGCTTATCCGAAAACGCAGTTCCATTTTTACACTAAATGCAGACCGCTGGTCGAAACTCACTGGCCGCTTTTTAGGATAAGCTTCTTATCCTGAAACGCACAGGCTGCCCCAAACGCATTCTTACTTTAGCAGAAAGCTTGTAATTGGCATAATTAGTAGTCAATATTTTTACGAATAAACACCATCCAAATCATGCAAATTATGCAAATTATAATAAAATGCTAAATACTTATATGTGTCTTAAGGAACACGACAAATGAGCAATGTCCAGTTCATGGAAAATGAAGTGCTGATGGAACTCGAAGTGGATAAACCGTATAATTTTTCAATGCTTGTATAACAAAAAAATTACTGTAAGGAGGCTAACTCAAATAAAATAAAAATTATTTGTGATAAATTTTGCACCTTTGATTGTCCGGATAAATGTATTTTTAACTTTTTGATTATTTTAAAAGAATTTATTATTAATAAATTTTATGAATTATTGGTGCAACTTATCTCTGATTAGATACTCATTATATGAATTTGTATGTCACCAAACTAAAAATTAAAGAAAAATTTAATGCTATTTTGATCATTCAAGATATGGATAATATTAATATGTAATTCATCAGAAGTTGTATTTTCAAATTATAGTTGATTCATCAACTGACTTTAGATATTGATTTTTCTCATTTTCATACGAAACTGTGATATATTTGGTACTTTCCCTGAAACAGTTAGCATTTAAAATAAGAACGCTTCTGTGATTTCCAAAGTATAACATATATTCAAATGCGTGAAACAACCTGCCCATGTAATAGTGCTGAATGGAGAGAGGCTTCCTCGTGCTTCATTTGTGCATGGTTCTGTTTAAGTTGCGTGCAGTGCGTGCCATGGAAGAATACCATTAAAGAGGTACCGAGTTCGGGCTTGAGAAAACAATTAATTTTAGGATAAAAGTTTGTTTGTCTTTTTTAAATGTTATTTTAAGTTTTAAACTATGTTATGACCTTTAAATTCATTGGTTTTTGCAAAAAGATGGTTTTTTTAATTTGGAAACTTAAAAGTCCCATTATAATTGGTTATTGTGTTTTGAGCAGGCTGTTAGGTCACAACAGTCAATATGAGCTAAGTGCTCCCAGTCAGTGGCAATTAGCCTGTGTTCAAGCCTCGGGGGGTATTTTTGCTGGAGCTGTGGCATCCTGTGTGACAACCCCTTTGGATACCATCAAAACTCGATTACAGGTAATATTTTTTATGCAACTTTTAGATCTCTATGTATCAAACAATAATGAAACTTAAACCAATGCCTCTTGTATCTGTTGATGCCATATTTTTTTTTTAATTTTGTTAGAAATACATTAGGATTGCCAAATATTGAATGCATGTTATATTATTGATTTGTGCCTCTTTTACCTTAAAAACGAACATTTAACCCTTAAAACCAAATTTGTATTTTTTTTATTTTTATTTATGTATTTTTTTGTGTGATGTTCGATTGTTGTAGCATGGGTTGTAGGGTTGAGCGTTATCTTTATGCTAATTCGGGGCAACATATGCTTAATATAGGCGTAGTTGCTTTGAAATTATCCCATGGGTTATCCTATTTGTTAGTCTAATTTGGTTGCTATTTTACGGATAACCATTTTTTTTCTTCAGATTTAAATTGTGGCCATAAATAATTTGTAATTAAATATAAAGTTTAGGTAATTTTATGCCTGCATGATATACTAGCCTATCGGTTATAAGGAATCAAGAAATAGCTGTTTTGAGGCATGGTGTCAAGAAATTTTGGCTTTGATAAAATTTATATTTTTAATTTCAAGCTATTGAGTGATTTTAATTTATGTATTCTTGGTGTGTGCTACAACTGTGATTAATTAATTCTGGAGGAAGTCATTTTCTTATATTAGCATGAACCTGATTTTTTCCCTTGGTTTTTTTGTGCCTTATTCTATTTCTACTATACGTGATATTAGTTTGTTTAATGATCTTGGTTTTGATCAAAATATGACACGCTAGAAATCGAATTTATGAAAATTAAATTCAATTTGTCAGTTGTGCAATCGCTTGGCATAGTAGTTGGATGTTCGTCTCTACTACAAGTTTTTGTGTTCAAGACAGCACGTTGGGGTGTGTACATGACAAAAAAACAATCAATCTGCTTGTTGGTTTTATATGTTTCAATTTTCTTCCATAATTCTTGGATGATTAGATATTTTCATTATTAATTAGTTTTAAACTTGATTGCTATATGTTTATATTGAATGAAAATAGTTAGTTGAATTAAATGATTACTTGTGATATGTGAATCTTCAAAATTTGTTTGCATGAAATCAAACCACGCATCATATTAGTTGCATCCAAGTTCATAATGACTGTTCAGTTACCATTGTTACATTACCATAATTTAATTATAAACCCTTTAACCTATATTTGGGTTGCAAATGACCTTTTGAGATTCGAAGTTTCAACGGATTAATTTTTTTGCTACAAATTGTGCTGCTTTATGTAGGTAATGGATAATACTAAAGAGAGACCAAGGGCCAGACAAGTTGTTAGGAGTTTGATTGCGGAGGATGGATGGAAAGGTTTATATAGAGGATTAGGTCCAAGGTTTTTCAGCATGTCAGCCTGGGGCACCAGCATGATTGTCTCATACGAATATTTAAGTATGTCTTTTTTTTTTTTTTTTGTCACTATTCCTCCTGTTTGTTCTGCTTTTATTTTTCATATTTGTTTTGGACCACTCACTATTCACTCCTTGAAATAAATATGAGATATGTTGTTTTGTTATGTACTGAAATGCATATTTTCTGAACCTTTTGTCTCCACCACCTATGCAGAACGTTTGTGCGCTAAAGTTGATGACTGAACTTTTCTGCGGGTGAAGACAGACGATGGGACAGAGTTACAGGAAAACTAAAAGGAATATTCGTCGATCTTATTGATCGCAGATTGTAGATTAGGAAACCTATGAGAAAACCGAGATGCGAAATTTTTATCAGGTGGGAATGACATTTGTTGGTAGTATAAAGAAAGGGTGATTTAATTGTCGGTGGGGTAAAAACATCGCCGTTCCAGCGGGATCTCTTCAATTCAACCAAAGACATCAAACGAATATTATCACCATCTGCTGGTGATGTTGAATTAATTAATAATTGGTTTACGGTAAAGGTGGGCCATGAAGCTGTACTTTTCAATGGGACCCATCCAGCTGATGTTAGCCATTTCATTTCCGGTTTAATTTTATTATTTGGCATTAAGGCGGTATTTCTAACTATGCCAACCTGTTTGCCGCCTCTAACCAAGCCAGTTTCTAACTGCAGGTTAGATTATTTACGCCCAAATAGCAAAATTTTAATTATTTATTAATTACTTTGAAATCATTTATTGAATATAAATTTATTTAGTAGAATTTATTTGCATTTCCTCTGATTTAGAAGCAAGCAAACATTCCCATTATTCAGTTAAATAATTCTAAATTTAAAATTGTTTGTGCTGATGTTTATATCTCCTACCCCAATACTAATCAGGAAAAAAATATTCCCTCCAGTAAGAACAAAAATTTAGGTTAATTTCAGTGAAACTCGAGAGTAGTTTCTATGAAATTTTGGTTGAAATTCGATTCTCGTGTATGATACTTGATCAAAGTTTGACTGCTCAAATTTTGTTAGAATTTTTAGTCATCGTCCAATTTAATATTCCAATTTTAGTTTTAATAAATGATCATATATCTAAACCTGTTGTCATTGTACTAATTATTTTTTTTTAAAGGTGGTAATTTGATCCAAATCGATTTGGAAATTAAATTTTAAGCCTTATTACAGGTTTTGAAAACTCGTGAAAGAATTTTGCTTGGTAGTTGAATCAGTTCGGATGTTTTTGTTGTGCATGTTTTTTTTGTTTTTTTGTCATTTAAATTTTTGTATTATTTTGTGGAAAAATTGAACAGTGAATTTTAATGGTAAATGGTAGTTATTTAAATTGTTGGGAAAATAGCTCAAAATGGAAAGGCCGGTTGCTGCTATCTATACTTCCCTCGTCTACAAAGTACGAACATTATCATTCGCGAGTAATGATTCCCATGCTTCTGTCTCTGACTCACTTTTTAGGGTCGTTTTATTTTTATTTTCCTACCAATCCCTTTGAACTTTTACTCATTCTTAATTAAAAAAGATGATTGTGGTGATCCAAATTAAAATTTAAAACCTTTGTATGAATTAAAGAGGTCTGGAAACTCATGAAAGAATTCGGAAATCACGTTTTAATTTGGAAAATTTGATTATATGTTTTAAGATAGCAAAGATTGAAAAAAATACGCATGCTTTTATTTTTTGGGAAAATATGTCTGAAATTTAATTTCAGACCAAAATAATCCTTCGAGTTTAAAAGGATATAGAACATTATATAACTAAATATAGTCTACAAGCAAGAAGTTACTCAAACCTTTTATATTCTCCACTGCTTCCTCAGTGGTCAAGATGCTAAGTTTCCTTCTGTAGCTAGTTTAAGATTAATTGGAATTATAATATTCTCAGTTTCTTCATTATCTCGTCGGATGCTAAGTTAAAGAGTAGGCCAATTAAAAAAAAAATAAAAATCAATCAGGCGAAAAACTGAAATGCCAGTGCTCTTTTAAACATCTAGAATTATAATATGTAATGTAACATAGGTCCATTATAACCAAATACTTGCATCCATAAAATAGAAAAAGAGACGTATAGAATAGCATCACAGTGTGGTGTGTGGGAATTTGATTTGATGAGAAGGAAGAAAAAGGAACGCTAAATAGTCGCCTTCATACAAATATTGAATATCATGATTAGTTATCATTCCTATAGCCAAAGTAGGGCTCCGTTTGGGGCAACTGCAACTTCTCAGTTTTCAGCTACAACTGTGTTGTCCCAAAAATTACTGCGAGAAAGTTGACTGTTTGTTTGGTCTGTGAGGCAATTGTTTCTTGAGAAATAACCATATTGCCCCTGTTTGGTAAAACTATTATAAAAATTTTTATGTATATATATGAAATTGATTAGTTTATATAAATATACGAAGTTAATCATTGTTATGGAATAAAGTTAAGCAATTGATATGTATGTATATGGAATTGATTAGTATGTAAAAAATTTAAGTGTTGATTAGGTAAATATAGGAAATAGATGCCTCGTGAAAAGGATTGTATTTAATTGGGTTGCATATATGTAATAAATATGTTTTCTCTAAAATATTGTAAATGAATAATATTTAACAAAATGATGTTTTGTTCATCTTCTGAAATTATTTATAAATTTTACATTAAGGAATTTACGCCTATAATTTAAGGATTGTATTTCATTATATATGCCAAATTCAACCTTTCACACCCGTAATATGATCTATACCCCAACCAACGAAATACCAATTCTGATTAATTCACAGATATTAACAAGAATGCTAAAGAACTATTGCCAAAGCCCCCATCCATTAGCTTGTTTTAAAATGCAAATCTTACATCAATTGACTCAATCAAGCCGAAAGCCAAAGAAGCCAAAAATAGAAGATCCAACAATAAAAGAGTGAGATGGGAGAAACGAGAAAGAGAAACTCCATATCCACCAAAAATAACAGAAAAAATGGAGATGGGAGAAACGGGAAAGAGAGACTCCAGATCCACCAAAAATAACGGAAAAAATGGAGATGGGAGAAACGGGAAAGATACAAGGAAGAAGAGTTCCAAACGCCAAAAGCTTCCTTAAATTTTTTTCTTCAATAACGGAAGAACTATTAGATCCGCAAAAAACAAGTGAAGAGGAGGGTTTGTCATACCTGATTTCGGTCAATCAAGGTTAGAGAAGAAGAAGGCACAGGGGATTCGCGAGAGAGGCTGGGGGCTTTCAGCTAGGGCAGAAGAGAAAAAATGTGGGACAAAAGGTAATAGTAGCGGGGCAAACACGGGGCAGCGAGATTGATCCCGCGGCCCGCTTTCCCCAGCTTCTTTGACGCGGGGCCACGAAGCTCGTAACCAAATGTTTTTTGAAGGCACAAAAGGATTTGCAGAATTAATGGTGTAATAGGTGAGGTACCTTCTGTCGGGATAGAAGGACACAAACTAAAAGAGACCAAATCCCCTTCAACCCCAACCTCTTCTTCATGGTGCCACTCCCACCCTGAAAAAGGAGAAAATATTACATCCGGACATCCGGAGTCCGGACAACGACCTAGATGCAGTGGAGGAAGGGAAAAATCGGACCTCTGCCCTCCTCACTGCATTTGGGCCGTAGTCCGGACATCTAAAGTCCGGATGTAATATTTTCTCCTGAAAAAGAGGCATGTAACCATTCGGCACTTCCACTAACTGGTGTGATCAAAACAACAAGGGTTTAGGGTTTAGAAGCAATGTTGAAGCTTTCTTCATCATACAACTCATTGCTGAAGCCTTCTTCATTGCTTCAGATAAGAAGAGCAATGAAGTAAACAGGTTGGGACTCACGCATGCATTATTCAGTCCATTTCACACGGACCCTCTCGCTATAACAAGGACTAATAATGCATATGAATAACCTGGCATACTTGTATTCTTATATCATTTTATAGGGAAGCTACACCAAAAGTTTTCAGCCTCTCTATAAATATTAACTTGGAGCACCTCTAAGTTAACTATTGTCTGTAACATGTTATGTTATTATTATCATAATTTTTTTATTAGGAACAATCAGCCTCTTGTTGGGGCCCAGTTTGCTTTCCATAGAATGCTGATGTTGATTATTCTTCTTTTTTTTTTCAGCATTATACTCCGCTTGTACTCGCTGGTGGGTGGCCTTACTTGTGATAGTTATCATTACTGTCAATCCATGAGGGGAATCCAACGAATGTGCTGTTCAAATTATAGGTGGGTTCAGATATTTGGAGATAATTCAGCTATCTAATGTAGTGGTTGCTCACATTCTTCTGAACTACTTAGCAAGCACTGAAGCTTCTGAGGTAATAGCAAAAAGAAAAGTGCTAGAACTCCTAAAGAAGGCTGCCAACAAGTCTTCGGAAGATTTGCTTAATTGTGAAGGGTAGCGAATATGCCATCATCCTCTTTAGAAATTTAGAAATAAGCAGATGGATAATTGATCTAATTTGAACCATCCGTTTCGTTTCTTCATGCATCCACCCATTATTTATCATGCAGATTGAGAACTTGATTTCTCAGTTCATGACGAATCCTATTTTAAGCATAGAGGGGATTACCCTCAAACAAGGCACCTTCCCAAACGCTTTGAACATGAATTTTACTTGTTTGATCCCATGCCCTCCTTAGATCCACCCGTTGGACCTTTTCTCCGTGCCTCTGAAAATATGGTGCAGGAACTGCATCAAACAGCACTTTGGATACGATTTTAAAACTACATTTTGGCTCTGATAAGGTTCCCACCCGAAGCTAACAATGATGGATTTACTTCATACAAGCGGAGCACTAAAAGAAATTGAAGCGTTCTAAAGCTTCAGTCAAAAGATAACCCACCCTACATTTTGGCTCTGATAAGGCTACCACCCTAGGCTAACAATGATGGATTTACTTCATACAAGCAGAGCACTAAAAGAAGTTCAAGTGTTCTAAAGCTTCAGTCTAAGGATAACCCACTCACCTAACCATTTTTGTCTTGTAATGTTAGATTTTCCAGCGGTAAAAATTTCATAAATTCTTCCGACTCAGTTTGCTGCTGCAGCTATCAACTAAATACCTTATCCTTGCACATGCTAGTTCTCCTGCAACTTCTACAATGTTTCAACCAGTGTCCTCATCTTCTAGTTCAATCTCCATATATCTCTATGTAAATCCGCACAAAATATTAAGATCATGTTAAAAAATTCACCATCTCAAGGTGTGTAAGCACTAAGCACATCATCATTTGTTTCAAATTAGCTAAAAAGTTCTTCCGTGGCTACCGTGTAAGTAGAACCTTGAACATGCCAGATCAAAGGGTTACTCATTGTTTATACTGCCAGTAAATAACTTCAAATTATGCCAAAGTATATAAAACACCCCTCCTTTTCTTATGAGAGACCCTTTTTTACAGAGAAGAAATGAATTTTTTTTTTATGCATATAATAACAATATATTCTGCCTCTTAAGCATTCACATGAGCCAAAACATGCAAGGTTAGATAAAAGACTTAAAGAAAAAAGTAGGCATAAATGGAGCAATGCGATAACATCTCAATTGCAGCAGAAGCTAAAGAAAGTGTGCAAGTTGTGTGCAGAAAGGGTTTGATGAAAAGCAAAAGGATGTTGAAACATGGAGAAGAGGGGTCCCATCACGTTCCAGGTTTTCAGTAAGAAATATTCTCTTCCTCTTGTTAGAAGCAAGTATGATATCGTGATGGTGGTGCTGCTCTACTTCTATGAAATGCAGGGCCCTAAAGCAATGGACCACTAAAGTAATTTGGCATCTCCTGTGATAATGAAAGACACGGCTCACGTACTCGACCATTTCTTGTTCTCAGCTTCTTCTGTTATAGTTCATTACAATGGAAGGACTATTAAAACAGTTGGTCATCTAACGTGAGAAATGATAGACATGGTGCGCCTACCCAACCACTGTTTGTCCTCTATATGCTTCGTTAGTTATAACTTCAAAAAATCTCTTTGCTTATTGTTTTATGGCTTTCCCATGCCCTACACTACGAACAAATTTAACAAAGTTTCACACAATTTAATTTTTGCTTATTATCTTGCCTTTGAACTCTTATTTTCACATCTCCTTGCCCATCCGCCTGCTCAATGTTCAAATAGAATGGAAACAGCACGAAGCCCAACTAACTTAGCCATGCAATGTGGTTTAGTCGAAAATCTTATCCTTGTGATGCGAGGAAATATTGGGCATGACATAAGTTGTTTATCGGACATTTCTTTCAAAACTGCAATCATTAATTAATATAAATACATATGTAATCCAAATGATTTTCTGCAGGAGATGAATAACTCTGCACATCATAAGGCTTTTAATAATGCATAATATTTCATCTTACTAGCTTATTTTTCATCTTGAATATACTATAACCAGCAGTACAATGCATAAATTGTTTCGGAGTAATTCATATTCCCCAAAAGCGAGGACCTAGGACTTATGTAGCTTTAAGCACTTCTGATTGGAACAGGGAATGGAGGAAGATCATATTACAAGAAAGACTGGGTACAAAAAATTAGAAATACATATACAAAGCAAGTCTTGGTTAAGCTACAGATTATTGTATTCAAGAAAAAAAAAATCCAGGTGGATCGTGGCATAAACAAGGACTCAGTAATTCACTTAGATAATATGATTAGGAATGAGTTTATCAATCATATGCCTATTTACGTTCCCCAAAAAGCACAGAAAAGAAAGAGCCAAAAGGGCTTACATGGATGCCTTACCTTGCGCTCTTTCCAAGCTGCCTGGTTCCTCTACTCGATTAATAAATACCTATAACCGTAAGATGGTTCTGAGGGTATCACATATGTTTTGAATTGTCTGTTGCTCTTGTGCTGCCTGAAGCTCTTGAAGAGGCATGTCTTCATAGCATCTGCACACATTAAAAGAACTTGAGCCATCAGAATTAGAGATCTATATATGATTTGTGGTACTCACGTTTTGTGGTATGCTAAAGCTTGGGCTAAATTCATTAATGTTGGACTTGTGGTCAACCTTTGATAAACCCCAGGTGGAAGTGACACCTAACACAAGATGAGTAATTGGAATTCAATAGAAAGAAAAATATTAGGTAATTAGGAAAGGAAACACAAAAGTTAACAAAACCTCGTTTGTTCCTCTTCTTCCTTTCTTCATCTGCCCATCACCACTACAAAGTTCTTTTACCGCTTCTAAAGCAGTACTACCACTTACTCCTGAAACTCTATCCTCAACTATGTTGTCAGATACCAAAGCTAAAGGGGAAATGTCAATTGCCTTGAGGAAAGGTATGGGTACAGTATTACCAGCAGCACAGATGGACCATAGCTACAAAAATAGGATTGATAGAAAGTTTTCATGAAATGTTTCATTTTAAGGAAGTTTGGGCGATAGAAGCTTTAGCTTAAGAAAGGCGCAGCAGCATACTTTATCTTGTATTGAAAGACCTTTCCGGCCAATGGTAGCAGCCTTAAATGTACTAACGGCTGCAGCATTGGTGATAGTGCCGTTCACCTGAGAAGCATTGCCTGTATCTGGCTTCTGCCCGGGCATTCCAAAATAAGAAGGTGACGAATCTTGTGTTGATTGGCTATCATATATCTGTAATGTGTCTGGCTGCCTACCAACAATGGTACCTGTTGAATTTTCCACCCTGAAAAACACCATAAATCATATAACCATTTTCGCAATTTCAAGCACAAGACTACTCACAACCAGGCATAACTTGCCACATTGCTTCGTTGACATTGCAAGATAATACAGGTATCACTTTCAAGATAGCAGCAAAATAAAAATGAAAGATCATTTTCTTGTTTAATTTATGCAAACTCCAACAACTTGGTCATTTCTTTGTTCATTGACACCATTACTCAATATACATTCAGTATCTTCAATAAGTTCTTGCATAAGATGAGAAGGAACGGTTTTGCAAATTAAATTCATCTAGTGCATAGCTTAACATTTATAGAAATTGAGATTTTAATGAATGTCAAGCTGCTTGAAACAAGAGCAATGGAGCAATATGTCGATGGCGGCAGCACAGATACAGAAGAAGGTACAAATAACAAGGGCTGTTTTGAGCGCTTGAGCAAATTCATTTGCACACAATGACTTTTTATCTAAGGGTACAGGGGATATTCATGGCTAAGTAATGAGTGTTTCAACTAGCCAGCGAGAAAGAATCAGTGAGAGACGTGTATAAGTTACTTGCTGTATAATAATTCAGTGAAAAACACTTTAGACAATCATTAAGCTTGGCGATGAATGGATAGACTTCTCTTCAACTAGCTATTTATGAACTATTTGCAGCTACAAGAAAATCACAAGTCAGTAAAAGAATCAAGTCTAGATTACCACACTGCCTTGGAGCATAAATTAATAAAATATACTTGCGACAACAAATCAAAACTTGAGATGCAGCAGATACTGTAGCTGGAATGCTTATAAGCTAGCTGATAGAATCCACATGACGTCATATCGAAGTTTCAAGAATACAACAGTGTTGTTCCCAAGGAAAGCAAACTGCTTGGTTGACTAGGTTTTCCCTCAGACTCTCATATGCTCCTTAAGAACATTATTGCTAAAGACATCTAAAGGTTGACCTGAAGATTGGGTTTGACCATCTTAAAGTAGCACACCAATCATATTTCTTTTCTTTAGGCGTCTACGGTCCTTTTCAGCTAATTGCTTTTCCCCTTTAGCGAATCTGATGATATAGAGAAATTTATATGCAGACAAATTTTAGAGACGAGACAAAATAAAAAAATTTAAAAAAAAGAAGAGGATAAACAATTGAACGACAAACAAGCATGGACGGTAGTCAGAATGGAAGGGAACACCTCATGAAAGGTGACAATGAGCAACATATAGAGTTGTCAAACACAAAAATAGCTTAAGAAGACAAACTTATTGGTATCTCTCAAAGTTTATCACGTACCAGACAAAAAAAACAAACGAAGAAAACATAATGAATACTCCAGAAGTAAGACACAAAATAGAAGTTTGTGGATTAAAAAAAATAAAAAAGAGTGTCACCAAAAAAATGGATGGCATGCGATTGATTAACTAACAAATTGTGTGAATAGTATGAACAGCATTTCCCTAAAACTATCAGGGAGCATGCACGTGAATATAAAGGTACAAGTAACATCAAAAAGATAAAGATGCTTTCCTTCAATCACTCCTTTTTGCTGGGATGCACAAGGTTGTCAGCATTCAATGAGCGAAAAGGAGATCGCATTTATTTTAGAGCATTATCAGTAAGTAGGGTTTTAATTTGAGTGGAATACTAATTTTTTAGTTCTTAGCAAATATAAGGAAAACTTATAAGTAACAAATCACTAAATAAACCCAAATAACTTTCATACATAAAAGAAACAAAATGATGAAAATCAAATGAGTGGACACAAGACTTAGACCCTAGGTTTAAGTGTACCAAGTCAAAATATGCAATACCCGAAGAAGAGATAGAAGAAAGGAAGCCATGAAGGTGTTTACCATGCTCAAAGGTTTTATAATCAAATTTAGAAACAAATGAAAAAGCAAGAATGAAGCACAAAAGAGGACGCCGGAGATGGTGTACATAGAAAATAGTGTCGTTGATAAGGTCAATAATAGATGGAAAGAAAATGGAAGTAGCAATAATAAAATAGCAAATGCCTCAAACTACCAACTCCAGCAATTATTTTCTCGGTGCTGAGAACATGAAAAGTACAGTGAGAAGGATAAAAAGTTACATAAGAACTATGAGATCAATACAAAAATAACAGAATATATGAAACTATGGAGCATATAAAACAATATATAGTGTAGAGGATGGATGGACCGATGCTTTTGTGAAAATATAAGGGAGAGATCCATCAACAATAATGATATATTGAAAAGATGTCATGGTAAGTGATAAAAATAGTTATTGATTAACTATCATATATACACGAGAATTTGAAATCTAAAATGCGTAGCAACTATATAGTCGAATCAAAGGGTAAAGAATATGAGGAAATGGATTATTCAACCGTGAATATTATATTTAATCATATTTTAATAGGAAAGGGAAACTGAACCACAGTGACTACCAAAAGAAAAGATGAAGGCAATGATTGAGACATATTGAGCCACTATGAGTAGCCATTTTTTCCCAACTAACACTCATACGAGTGATTGGATCTTGGAAAATGTTGACAACATGAAATCTAACAATAGTAGCAACTACCAATATGAGAGTCTCATCCATGATTGCCATAGCCACCCCTTATACTACAAAAAAAAGATTAGTTTGATTGTGTTAAGGTAGAGAGGGTAACTCAGTGGCCTGGAGAATCAGTGGAAAGCTATGGATATGTTTCTGACAGCATAATTCACCATCATTTAAGCTTGAACAGCTTGTAGAGATGTATGAGAATTGAAGAGAAAGTTGGTAATAGGAACCCTCTTCAATTTATTTTATCGAGTACTCAAGTCAATGATGAAAAATTATTGGAAGCAAATTAAAAAACATAACTAAGATTTCAGCATACCACATTTGTGTGGACTTTCCTCCAAAATCATGCTTCAAAACTCTTCTGCTATCACTTTGATCAAGTGAAATGTCCTGTTTGTTAGAATCCTGAGAGGATCCTCCTTCAGAATGAACAACTACAGTTCCATAGTCACCTATACGCAGTTATGTTTCAGCATCAAAATTACTAAAAAAACAAGCCAGTGCTTCGCTTAATGCTTCATAACCCAAGAAAATTGAAACCAAGACAGCAAATAAAATGTATATGGCCTTAACATATTTGAATAAGTTCCAAAATTGGAAGGAAAATAAAAGCTCCACCTCCGGGGAATAAAGTAAATTAAAACTTCAGCAACACATGCACACACAGTCTAAAAAATAGCCCGAAGTATCCCAAACTCCCTTGTACCAAAATTCTAAATCTTTCAGGAGGAAGATTGATATAGCCATATTTCAACCTAATGTAAAGTTTTGTTAATATGTAGGTTTGAGATTTTCTATGACTGCAAGTCCTCATTGTTAATTATCCATCCTTAAACCTATTGTAAAGTTTTGCTTAGATTTGGTTTGAGACTTTTTATGAGTGCAGCTCCTCATAGTTAATTATCTAGCGTGATTACGAGACCAATCCTAATTAAAGTTCTTGGGCTCTATATACAGGAAGTTCATTAAGCAAATGACATTCATATTGTTGAATGCTGACGGGAAATATGATCCTGTAATTTGTGAACTCATACGATCCGGGAGAGACCCTGTGAAAAAAAGTGAGAAGAAACTGAGGGCTTTTTTAGAGAAAGAGAGAGAGCTCCTTCCTTTCTTTTACTTCCTACTTATACACCATTGAGTTTATGTGCCTGTGCCTGCACAGTGGCGTAATGAATAAAATAAAAACTACATTACAGTTTATACAGAACGGAGCTTGAGTAGACTCGTCGTTGACAAGATAATTGGCATGGATATCATGCTGCTAACAAATGATTATAAATATGCTGATACAATGGAGTTCTCTTTTATATGCCTCCAAGAACTGTTTACTGAGCTTGGTGATGAGCTCGGTGATGCAACCAAGTAGCTATCGACGAGCTTGGTAGGAGGGTTCAATTAATACATGCGAGCTTGGAAGAAAAACTCAGAAAATGTGAGAGCTTGGTTGGAGGAGCTCAATTGAAGACTTAAGCTTAGCGGGCCTGTTTGAAGAAACTCGCATGAATGTTGACGTGCTTTAGAGGTACTCGTGGGGATCTGTTGGTCAACATGAAATTTTGTATCTAGTCACCTCTAAAAATATGGTTAACGAGTACGATTGGTCTAATCAACACCAGACCTTTAAGGGCATGGTCGATGGGCTTGAACCATTAATCCCACGAGGTCCATTTAGTATTTGGGCTTTTCTATTTCTTAAACAAAAACATATTTAGACATACACATATAGATTTTGCTGATGTATGGGGGCAATGGTTATGTGAATGGTGATAAACTTTGTTAGTGTCTTTTCATTCTAACTTTAGGGATTTACTGAACGGTCCTTAGTTGAAAGAATCAAAAAGAATAGTTGTGATTATAAATTGGGATCAGGGGCCATGCTTTACAAAATTTCCCCTAAGCTTAAGGAGTGTATTATACCCAGCAACATTAAGTTAGCTGGCCTGTTGTGATTGATAAATATAGGTAGTACCAAGACAGAAGATGCCACTCAACTAAACCTAAGAAATCAGCACACTGCTTAAGCAGGCATATGCAGACACCAAAAGGTTACATTAATCAGAAGTATGAAAACAACAAAGTGAAAATCAATGCATGATACACTACTGACAACAATAAGAGCCACGAAGGATTTTAAAAACTAGGGCAAGGCTATTATGCTTCCAACAATGTAATCCATGAACATTTACTATAAATTTATCATGTAAAAGCATAAAACATCTCTGGAGTTCCTATAAATATCTTAGACATCCTCAAAAGAATATTCATTAACTATAACTTCTTCAATAAGATAAAATTAACCATACATATTTCTTGTGCCAGTCTGCATATCAAAAGCTTGGAAGAAGATGACATTAATTTTTCTTTAGACATATTAATCATATGTGTGAAAATTCTAATAAAATGATTTTAAAATTCCTCAATACTAATAATTTATAAAAAGCCTTTTGTAACCATTTTTGGTGAGTTATAGCTTAATTTATCACAAATCTATCACCAAAAACCATTACTTAAAAAGATAATGGTAACATAATAATTTAGATAAAGATAATAATTTACTATAAAAAGTGTATGCCATGCATAATGTTCAGATAAATCATATTCATTCTAATTAGAATTCTTAAACTAATCATATAATTCCATGAAATAACATGCAATCATGTTTAAGTTTATGTTTCAAATCAAAATTGTGAACTTAACAATAAATCTTCTGCAAAATGACTGAACATATCCAATTAATTTCATTTTAGAAATTTCAACTTATTGGGAATCAAATATATTATAATATTCAAATAGATACTAAATTATCAAATTCTCTAATATTATTCCTTCTAATGAATTCAACAACAAAAACTTTATCCCACTAAGTGAGGTTGGCTACATGAATCCTTTTTCTCCATTGCGTCCTATTTAGTGTCATATTTTCATTTAAAATCTAAAAAATTAAGATCATTTTTTATACAATATGCCCCAGTCTTCTTAGGTCTGCATTTGCCTTTCTTAACATAAGTCGAATCTAAAACATCTACTCTTCTAATCGGATCATCACATGGTCAACGTTTAATGTGACTAAATCATCCAAAACGACTCTCTAATTTTGTTTGTCACGGGGCCTACACCAATCCTATCACGGATATATTCATTTTGCATTTTGTCTCTAAGTGTAAAGCCACTCATCCACCTAATCACACTCATCTCGACAACACTTAACTTAGTTTTATACTTCTCTTTTAAAGACTTTTCTCTTTTAAAGGCCAACATTCAACGCCATAAAGCGTTGCAGGTCTCACCACCATTTTATGAAATTTTCCTTTCAACATAAGCAATACTTTTCTATCACAAAATAGGCCCAAAGAATTCCTCCACTTCAACCAACCAACTTGAATTCTACTAATAACATCCCCATAAATATCACCATCACTTTGAACAATAGACCCGAGATATCTAAAGCGTACACACATTTTAATAATTTGATCACCCATAGTTACATTTCTATCACAAGAGCTACTACTACTAAAATTGCATTCCATATATTTAGTTTTAGTTCTACACAAACGAAGGCCTTTAGACTCCAAGGTAGACCTCCATAATTCAAGTTTTTCCTGACCTTTTTCTATCATCTTATCCGCGAGAAGGATATTATCAAAAAAAAACATACACCAAGGTACAACCTCCTGTAAGTGTCCCGTAAGACCATCCATAACTAAAGCAAAAAGATATGGGCTTAAAGTCGATCTATGATCTAAACCAACAGAAATAGAAAAAATATTTGGTCAATCCTCCTTCTGTTCGAACACAAGTAAAAACACTTGTATACATATCTTTAATGACTTGAATATAAGTCCTATCAACATTTTTCTCTCAAGTACTCTCCAAAGGATATCTCTCAGAACATTATCGTAAGCCTTTTCTAAATCAATAAAAATCATATGTAGATCCTACTTATTATCTCTGAACTTCTCCATCAAATCTCTCAATAAATGCATAGCTTCCATAGTAGACCTGTCCGGAATAAATCCAAATTGATTATAAGAAATCTTTGTAATACGTTTTAACCTATGTTCAATTACCCTCTCCCATAATTTTAAAGTATGACACATCAACTTAATTTCTCTATAATTTGCACACTCTTGTGCATCCCCTTTATTCTTAAAAATGGAGACCAAAATACTCTTCCTCCACTCCTTAGACATCTTTTTAGTTTTTAAAATAATATCAAAGAGTTTAGTAAGCCAAGGAACTCCCAATCTCCTAAATATTTTCACACTTCAATTGGGATATCATCAAGTCCTACACACTTTCCACCCTTGGTTTTCTTTAAAGCCACATCAACTTCTCTTTTACTAATGAGAAGGTAAAAATGCAATACTTTATTATTATTAAAGGTATTAAGATCACTTAGGTCGATCGTATTTTCCGAAACTTGATTAAAAAGTTTATCAAAATAACTCGCCAACCTATTTCGATTATCTATTTTTAAGAACCGTACTTTTTTATTTTCATCTTTAATATACTTTACTTAGTAAAATCTTTACTTTTCTTTCTTCATTTGACTAGTTTACACATATATTTTTCAACCTTCTCAGTATCTAATATATTATAAAAATCACTAAAAGCAGAACTTTTAGCATACAAATTGTTCTCTTAGACCCTCTACAGATCGTTTGATATTTTTCTTAGTTCTCTAAACTTTTACATTTAAACCAATTTTTATAAAATAGCTTCTTATATTTTATCTTTTATTGCACATTACTATTCCACCATTGACTATTTTTATTAAAAATAAACTTTTTCTTCTGATTCTCCAAGTACAACTTTTGTCACTTATTTAATAGTGTTTGTTACTTTATCCCACATAGAATTTGCTTCTTCATGAACATCCCAAATTTTGAAATCTTGAATTTTACTCATAAAATTAATTTTATTTGTATCTTTTAAGTTTCTCCATCTAATTCTGCAATGACGAGTCCTATTTTTTATTTTACAACTATTCATCTTAAAATCTAGAACTAATAAAATGTTGTGAGTATTTAAATTCTCGCTTGGAATGACCTTACAATCTTTATATTCTCGACGATCTCATCTTCTCATAAGAAAATAATTAATTTGTGTTTTATTAGATCATTCTTATAAACAATAATATGATCATATCTTTCTTTTTTAATAAAGTATTAGCAAAAACAAAATCATACGCTAAAATTCACCTCATAACAGTTGCCTTAATATTTTTTATAATCAAAATCAACTCAATTTTGCTTAAAGTACATCATTTATATTTTTTTTAAACATGTCCTAGTGTCTTAGTTTTAATTATGATGGTGCAAATAAGAATTTATAATAATTTTACGCGAGATTTACAATCTTGAATTCCTAAATTATAATGCAACTAATGATGCCATGCACACAAGAAAATTAAAATCAGATCGAAGTTTTTTAGTTCAAAACACTACCATTCAAATAATTCTTTCCTAACTTTTGATGAAAACCTAAGAATATAAAGAATATAGCTCAACAATAAATTAGAAGTCAACGAGATATATTAAGTTCAACAAGAATTTAAAATAACAAAAATCCATTGCTCAATTGGAATTCACACCACAATTGAAATCTAATTGAAACAAATGTGACAAAAATCAAACACGCTTGTGAAACCAATCACAAATTATATAGAAAAGAGAACAAAGAAAATTTCACCAAGTCAAGAAAATTCAAGTCTTATGCCAAAATAAGGAAATAAATTTCCCTGGAAATTTAAAATTTGCACTTATACCACCCTAAAAGAAATCAACATATAACCAAGCAGAGAAAAGATTAAGGGGTTCTTTGGTTTAAAGAATTTAGGATGTAAAGTAAAATAAATACATGTATTTTAATATTTATGTGTCTGATTAAAATGAAAAAAAAAAACGGAGTCGGAGTAAAATTTTAGTGTATTTGGGAGAATCCCGCCTAGGCCATTTCTGCCGCAATATCTTTTCAGCCAAAAAGAGCGAAAAAGACAAACTCAACGTGTTTCTCCTTGGTGAGCGTCATCTAGTTCGTGTGACTGTCTTCTACTTCGCGCAGCTGTTTTCTCTTGCGTGTGGGTTTCATATTTATCTCTTTAGTGACGACATCCCAATAATACTCTGAGAATATTTTCCCCCTTTACCAGCATGACCCCGAGAACGCTAGCCACGACTAGCTGACCATGGACATCTCTTTATGAGGGAGACGAGGCTCGACTTTCTGATCTATGAGGCGGACGCTGGACTTCACTTGTTGTGCGGACTCAAATTGTCTAAAAAGCACTAAAAACAGTAGAAAAACCATGGTTTGGTTCATTTAGAATTTTTTGTGGTTAGTTTTTTTGTTAATTTATTCGGATTTAATTAATCGTTGCCCTCCCTTGTATGGAGTTGTTGGTAGCTCTACAACATGGTTTGGAAGTGTGATGTTTGCTTAATATACAAAGATCAAGGTTTAAAGTGAGGATTACATAATCAACTTTCATCATTTAACTTATTATCATTTGACATGATTATAGAATCAACTTTCATATATCAGTAGTTCCTAATCAATAGGATAACAAGTGAATAAGGTACATGCTTACATCGCAAGTTGCACCAAAAATAAATTTGATTGTCTATATTGTTTCTTGATGCAATTGACGGGCTCGAACTCATTTTTCATGAACACAACGCTTGCAAATAAAATTTTAAGTTAGACATTACATGTACCAAATGAAAACTAATTACAACTTGATCTGTACTAGACTCGAGTCGGATTAGACCGATTTTGATATCATTGGATTGGTCTTATCGAGATAGTAAATTTGACTATGAACTTGTTGAAATCAGAGTCAGGATGATCCTAAATTTGAATTTAAAATATCAATTATTAAAAATGCATCAAGATTCATGTTTGATGATAAAAAAATTCTTAATGACATATCAATATGATATATTAATTTAATTGTATTTTATTACAAGTTTTAAATAAATATTAAAAATAATATATCAATATTTATTTTATAGACAACCAATCAAGCTCAAGTATTTTGAATAAACTATATTTTTACCTTACGTGCATATAATCCAAACAGAAAAAATAATTTCCCTGCATTTATTTTACAGATAGCCAAACAACATACTAAAGGCATAATACACTACAATCTCTTTTACTCTACGGTAAACGAAAAGACCCCTAAAAAAACTGTAAAATATTATTAAACAAAAATTTCCTACACATGCCTCGAAGTTGTGTATAAATAAAAATCTAATTTGCTATGATTGGCTACTTTTGGAGTTGCTCAATTCTTAATCTAAAAATTGTATAAAATGGAACAGTAACACCAAGTAAAAGTCAAGATAGCATCAAACAAAATACATCACCCAAATGGCCCAAAAGTCAACAAATAATTCATTTAACATAGTAAGGTAATAATCGAAGGCATGACTGCCAAAGCAAATGCCGGTACAGGACACAACACCTGCACTAGGAGCCACAAAACGTGATATTCCTGGAACTAAACTAGACAAAACAATTTAAAAAGTTAGTCTACAAGCTATGCAGTGGATCTGTTGACAAAACATTCAATTAGAAGGGATATTTATGTGTTGGATTCCAGACAAAGGAAATTTTGTATGTAAGAAAGTATACCGATGTTTTTTGCAGAACCCAGTTCAGTGTAATTGGTTAATTGACTCGAATCACAGCCTTCAGGGACTTTATGTACCGCTTCAGGAGTTTTTTGAGGTTTTGAAGGAACAGTGTCTCCGTAACTTCTATTTATAATTGTTGATTTATCAATCGTTGCTGCCTATATTGCATCCATGTCGTTTAAGTACAAATTGAGTCCTCAAACGCAAACAATAAATCTACAACAATGATTATAACCTGGGCTTGGGCTTGGACTTGGGCTTGGGGTTGGGCGGCCATTGCTGACCTAATCTGCCGAGCCCTTTTGATCATTGGCAGCATCTTTGAAGCTCCCCAGTGACCCCTTTCGATAAATTTGTGCTGCATTGAAAAAGAAAATTAATGGATCCATGAACGAAAAAAGATGAATTAAAGATCAAATTACTTTGTAGATGGATTTTTTTTCAAGCATTATCACACCACTATAATCTAACCCAATAATTACCATTGGACGAACTTAGCAAGTTGGTGAAAGATAGACATACTTAAAAAATAATTAAAAAAAAAAATTCAGCAATTCATTTCATCTAATCACCCACGCATGATTTGTTCATACATGAACAAGCTCTCGAGAAAATGAATCAGGCAATCCCATATAATAGAAACACACAGAATAATAATGAAGTTAATTTGTAATAGATTATCCATAATAAAAATCCTTCAAAAAACCCACAAATAAAATAGATAGTTGATTCATGTGGAAAAACGAAGAGGCTGGGGTAGTAGGGTCTTTGATTTTTGTTGTTCCACAGTTCAGTTATTCCACTTATTTTCACTAAAGCATTTTCACTTAAACGCTTTAGTGTACCTAAATAAAAAGGCTGCTTTTATTGCACAAAATCCCACCAGGGTGATTGGGTGGGGTCGATGCAGATAACATCACCGCAACATTGCATGGAACCTTTTCAGTTTTTTCAAAAATTAAATTAATAAATTGTGAATGGAAATGGAAATTGAAATTTGAGAACATTTTACTTGGAAGAAGTATTAGCTGGGCAAGCTCACAAAAATTAGATTTAACATTACACCAAATACATATGCTTTGTAAACACTAATAGCAGCTGCTTGAATTGAAGACTAGAATCATCGATAAGCTAATATATGCATATTAAAAAAGGAATTAAAGACTTAAAGAGGCATTATGTATGATGAGCATTAAATAAAAAGCAGGGTTTCAAAAAGACTGAGAAAGCAAATCACTATCTAAAAACAAATTTTCAAGAAAAAAAACGACGAAAACATCTCTGAGATGTTAAATGTGCGCAAATCAAATTCTGAAATATAGTCATACCTTCAACATTTCAGTAGCAGGAGGACGCAGACGTGGATCTTTGGTCAAGCATTTTGCAATAAAATCATGAAAAAGTAGAGACCTAAAATGGAATGCAAAAGATAATTATAACTACAGCACAGCCCATCAGGCCTAAGGATTTTTGAAGACAAACAATAGCAAGAACCAAACTACAAAAAAGCTCAGTTTACATGGTGGCTTCAATAGACAGAAAGTTAGATTTTAGAGTCAAAGAGAAAACTCCATAGTCAAGCTTTGTAGGAATCACCAGAGTCAGAGATTTGAATGTTGTGAAGTGTCATCTTAGCTTCATCATTTGAAAAATGAACCCAAAAAAATAAATAAATAAAACAACCCAGGAAGGTTAAGAGCAGCACACTAAGAATGTGCTTAAGAAAATATAATGCCCATCACATAATAGACTGATATGCCAAATACTTCATTATTTGAAAAAAGACCATCGTCAATTGGCAAAGATGCATAATACAATACTATCAAGGACAATGGTGCAGGTGCAACTACAACCAGTAACAAAACTCTATTAAGCATGGCAATTACGTAAGAATCAGAAGATATAAAATTCTATGCAGATTTCACACGTGAGAATATATAATTGCTAAAAGAACTAGTAATATAAGCATATCACTTTGCTTTATCCAAAACTAAACCAAAAAGACAAAAGACAATCCAGGAAGGTTAAGTAACACAATCTAAAGATGTCAAAATGAAAAGTGGAATGTCCAAATCCAAAACTAAACCAAAATAGCACAATTACAACTAGTAACAAAAATCCGCAGAATATATCCATATGATATTCGCATGTAGAAACAAAAGATAAAAAATGAAGGCATGTGACGAAACATAACATAAAAAAAAATAGTACAAGCATACCACTTCTCTTTATCCTCAAGCATTGGAGCTGGCTCCCTAGATATCATGAATAGCACCTAAGAATATAGGAACGTTAATCAGAAAATCTAAACAATTAAATCATAAATTACAAAAGGCAAAAAACCAAATATACTTGGAAGTTTGATATGAACTTATGAAATAGCCAGGCAACTGCACAATAAAAGCAGCAGAACCATGAGGAATTGTAAAAATGATTTTTTTATTAATTAAGTTAATTAAAAAAATGAAATTGCCTACTCACGATACCTGCGAAGCAAATTTGTTCGAATGAGACTCACCGCCCACTGCTATTAATCGAAGGCTCATCTCCCTCATTTGAAGCAAACACGTGATACAACAGGAGAGGAGCGAGAGTAAGTGAGGCAAAGGAGGAGCAGATTTGGCGCAGTCGCGCGAGCATCACTGTGAGAGGGAGAATCGTGTCTCTCATGCAATGAAAAAGTGCAGGGACTGAGTATAGTGTGCAAGAAAACACAAACGCTAGTCAAGCAGGGTAGGTGTGCGTGAGAAGCTCAAGCGAGCGATTCAGCAGCTGAAGCACGAGCCTTCTTGATGTGTCAACGATTGACAGTAAAGGAGGGAGATCGAGCACAAGAGCAAAAGAAGGGGGGAAACCAAGCGGCTTTTCCCAAAGCTTGAGAAGCTTTCCAAGCCCGAGAGATGATTGAGCGAGCATCTGCAAGCTCCGAGCACAGGAAAGGACAAGGCAATGAGGAAACAGTTGGGGTGGCATACAACTTTAGGTAACAAATTTTAAACTGAAAATTAGATTTTTTTTTTATATATATGTATCTTCGTCCTAATGCGCTAATTGGGTTGAAAATCCAGAAACTCTAAGTTTAAAATTCCTAAGTTTTGTTAAATTATTGTCAGGGTTTTGAGAGAAATATTTGCATTGAAAGAAATGTTGAATTTCTATGTCCTTAGGCAAGAAATTCGAAATCAGAATTTAGAATTCAGAGTTTTGTGTTTTGAAAATCTTCAGAAAATCTTATAGTTATATTTTTAAAAACTGTTGTTAAAATTTTAAGGTTTTGGGGTGTTGATTGAAAACAATAAAATTTCTTTGAGGGAGGATTTTCAAGCATGAAGTCTAATTTCGATATTTAATTGTTGGTTTCTTCACTAATTTATTTTAAAGTAAATTAAAAATTTAAGAACCCTAAGTTTGTCAATTATAAATCTATAAAAACCGGCATGTTGCATAAGAAATTATCTTAATTTATTAGAATTATGAAATTCAATAAGACAAAATAGAGAAAAACGATTAATGTAGCCGACCCCCTTAAAGGGATAAAGGCTCGTTGTTGTTGTTGTTGTAAGTTTAAAAGCATAGTTAAGTTGCTTCTACTCAAGTGCCAATAAGAATTTTAGGAAAAACAACAACAACAACAAAGCCTTAATTCCACTAAATGGGGTCGACTACATAAATCTTGTCTCCATTGCGTCCAGTTTAGTGTCATATTTTCATTTAGTTCTAGTAAATTAAAATCATTTTTTATATAATAAGCCCAAGTCTTTAATAAGCCCAAGCCCAAGTCTTCCTAGGTCTACCTCTGTCTTTCTTAACACAAGTCGGTATCCAAAACATCTACTCTCCTAATCAGATAATCAGATGATCGACGTTTAATGTGACCAAACCATCTCAGACAACTTTCTCTAATTTTGTCCGTCAGTCCGTCACAGGAGCCGTCACAGGAGCTACACCAACTCTATCACGGATATATTCTTTTGACATTTTGTCTCTAAATGTAAAGCCACTCATCCACCTAATCATTCTCATCTCCGCAACACTTAACTTATTATTATGTTTCTCTTTTAAAGGCCAACATTCAGCGCCATAGAGCATTGCAGGTCTCACCACCGTCTTACAAAATTTTCCTTTCAGTTTAAGCGGTACTTTTCTATCACACAAAAGGCCCGAAGCATTCCTCCACTTTAACCAACCAACTTGAATTCTACTATTAACATCCCCATCTATATCACCATCGCTTTGAACAACGGACCCAAGGTATCTAAATGGTTCACACCTTTTAATAATTTGATCACCCAATGTCACACTTCTGTCACTAGAGCTACTACTACTAAAATTACATTCCATGTATTCAGTTTTAGTTCTACTTAAATGAAGGCCTTTAGACTCCAACGTAGACCTCCATAATTCAAGTTTTTCCTGGGCTTTTTCTCTTGTTTTCTCCACGAGAAGGATATCATAAGCAAAAATCATATACCAAGGTACATCATCCTGTAGATGTCCAGTAAGACCATCCATAACTAAAGCAAAAAGATATGGTCTTAAATTCGATCCCTGATGTAATCCAATAGAAATAGAAAAATATTTGGTAAATTCTCCTTCAGTTTGAACACAAGTAACAGCTCTAGTATAAATATCTTTAATGACTTGAATATATGTCATATCAACACCTTCTCAAGAACTCTCCAAAGGATATCTCTTGGAACCTTATCGTAAGCTTTTTCTAAATCAATAAAAATCAAATGTAGATTCTTCTTATTATCTCTGAACTTCTCCATCAAACCTCTCAATAAATGTATAACTTCCATAGTAGACCTGTCCAACATAAATCCAAATTGATTAGGAGAAATCTTTGTCATGCGTCTTAACATATGTTCAATTACCCTCTCCCATAACTTTAAAGTACAACACATCAACTTAATTTCTTTATAGATTGCACACTCTTGTGCATTCCTTTTATTCTTAAAAATGGGGACCAAAATACTCTTCCTCCACTCAGGCATCTTTTTAATTTTTAAAATAATATTAAAGAGCTTAGTAAGCCAAAAAACTACCAAATCTCTTAAAATCTTTTCTTTTCTTTTTGTTTTGGCGTCACAGATTGTTCTCGACTCTCTACAGGTCGTTTGATATTTTTTCAGTTCTCTAAGCTTTTACATTTAAACTAATTTTTATAACATATCTTCTTATATTTTATCTTTTCTTGCACATTATTATTCCACCACCAACTATTTTTATCAAAAAAAAAAATTTTTTAGATTCTCTAAGCACATCTTTTGATACTTTTTTAATAGTATTTGTTACTTTATCTCACATAACATTTGTTTCATCATGAACATCCCAAATCTTGAAATCTTGAATTTTACTCATAAAAATAATTTTGTGTCTTGCAGGTTCCCCCATCTAATTCTACGATGATGAGTCTTAGTATTCTTTATTTTACAACTCTTCATCTTAAAATCTAGAACTAATAAACGATGTTGGGAACTTAAATTCTCACTTAGAATGACCTTCCAATCATTACAATCTCGACGATCTCTTATTCTCATAAGAAAATAATCAATTTGTGTTTTATTAGATCCACTCTTATAAGTAATAAGATGCTCATTTCTTTACTTGAATAAAGTATTAGTAATAACAAAATCATATGCTGAAACAAAACCTAAAATAGCTCTACCTTATTCATTAGTTACTCCAAAACTGTAGCCACCATGAGCATTTCTGAAGTCTTCTACCACTCTACCGACATGTCCATTTAAATCTCCTCCAATAAAAATTCTTTCTTCAAAAGGTATCATTTATATTGAGTTTTCTAAGTCATTACAAAATTTATCTTTAGACCCTGTATCTAAACCTACTTGAGAAGCACAAACACTCATAATATTAAAAATCTTAGTATCAATGATAATCTTAAGGGCTAAAATTTTATCTCTAACTCTATTAATTTTTACAACATTATCTTTCAAACTCTTATCTATAATTACACCTATATCATTTCTAATGCGACTCTTACTAGAATACCAAAGTTTAAAACCTAATTATCAATCTCCTTGGCATTTTCTCCAACCCATTTAATTTCTTGAATACATAAGATATTAATTTTTCTATGAATAATAATATCAACTAATTCTATTAATTTATAATTGAGAGTACCTATATTCCAAGATTTTATCCTAATATTAGTTTCATTAGTTTCATGGACTAACTTCTTTACTCGCATTCATCTGCAATGTGAGAATCCTTGCTTATTTGACACTACACCCGGGCGTCAGTGTAGCGGCCCTTGCACACTTTTCACTGTATTCAGTCTATAAAGCGCGACGCTTCTAGGGGACGTTCTAGCACTTACACAATGATCAAAAAGATTCATGTCATGATTTTTTTTCGACATATTTTACGGTGGTTGTTGAGTACTTAACGTAACCCTCCACTTTTCACATATTTTACGGTGGCTGTTGGGACCGACAATGAGTGTTTAGATTGAATTTTAGGAAATATAACTCTAAAAATTTAATAGATTGAATTATAATATATTATCATACATACATTAATATAAGTTCATAAAATAGTTACTATGAAGACGGATGTGTAAGTTACTTATATGGAAACAACTTAAGCAAATAAACTTGAGCAAGCAAAAGGATGAGACGATGAGAAAATGGTAGGGGCTGGCATCTTTAGAAAAGCAATTTTAAACCAAAAGTTAGAATTTTTTTTAATGCATCTTCCCCCTTAATGCTAAAGCTAATTCCGCTGAAAATAGAAAAACCCTAAAGTCTAAAACTCCTAAGTTTTTGCAAAATTATTGTTAGGGTTTTGGAGGAAATAGTCGACAAAGAGAGAAAAATTGGATTTCTTCATCTTTAGGTAAGAAATTCAAAATCGAAATAGAGTTCTATGTTTTATGATTTCTGCAATATTATTGAAAAATATCATAAAACCCCAAGTCATGTTTTCTAAAATTGTTGTTAATGTTCTAGGATTTCGGTGTGGTGGCTGAGAAAAAAACAAAGAATTTTGCTGTGAAGGAGGACTTTCAGGTATGAAATCCGATTTCAGTATTTAATTGTTGTTTCTTCACAAATTCATGTTAAACTAACTTAAAAATTTAAGAGCACCAAGTTTAAAAGCAAAATTATGTTTCTTGTAACTCTAGTACACCATTTTAAGAAAGTTAATCAAAATTCTAAACATTTATTTGATTGAATTGTAATATATTATTGTATATATATCAATATAAGTTGATACAAGAGTTAGTATGAATACTAATAAGGATTTGTT